CCAAGGAGGCGGCGGATGGTGGCGTCACCACCGGATATGACTCGCCGCCGGCGACGCGACGCGAGGAACACAGGGAGGAATACCAGCTCAATATCAGCTGCCTGCAGAGCGCGTCAAAGCGGTCGAAGCACTTAACAAAAGTATTGCGCGCCGCAAGGTTCTAAACCAGGCGACAGACACACTATGTCGTGCGATTAGGCCTGCTATCTGTGTGCCGGACGGTCGGACGGCTGAGGTGTGAGGCGGCGAGTCGCCCCGGACGGCCCGGCTCGTCGTCATCCGTCTTCGTGACCGTCGAGGCCTGGCCGGCGGGCGGGCGGCGGCTGGTGCGGGGCGCACCGCACGCGACCGTGTTCCTGCTGTGTTAAACAGACACTTTTCCACGTTTCTCACAGCTGGAACACGCGTGCCGCGTGCGAGTGCCAAAGGGATGCGACGAGGCGGCCGGCCTGTCTCCTCTCCATGAACAGGCGGCCCGAGACTCAAGCCGCCTTGCCCGACACGAGCCCGACCGGCGGCGGGGCGGGTCCGTATTGCGATTCCTGAAAAGAACGCTCTTCAGGGCCAGAGGGGTTGGGGAAAAGCACGGAAGGATTTTGTATGGTCATCAGTAAGGGAAGGGGCGCTTTGCGGGGTATAAAGGAATGCTGAGCTCATAACGCCGGGAGACGCCTGAGAACAACGACAGGCTCTACTATGGATATCTTGTCAACTAAGTATTGCTATACGTATTGCTGGTGCAGGTCATTCCGCAAAAAGTGTCGCGTTATGTAATACTTATACATTTCAACAATTCGCAGATGTCGTTAAATCCGCCACTTTTCGTCGGATAACCAAAATTGCAACGTCAACGTCCCTCTGGGCAGCCGGTAGCAACTCCATATGCTGGACATAGTTGCAACCGGCTGCTATGGGACCCTGCTTGCTTCCGCGGGTGGTCAATAGGCTCAGGCGTCCACCCGCGGACGGTCTCGGTGTTCGATCAGCAGGTTCTCGGGGCTCGTGCAAATAAGTGAAGCGGCAGCTGTGCTTAACTACAACATCTACAGGCTACCAGACACCGCCCTAGCGACGGGGTTCTTTGCGACAACAGCTGCAGAGAGAGAAGCGAACTATACGTGCGCGTACTCCGAACTACTCCACTAGCAAAGAGTATGGGAAGACACCCGTGGTGCGCCAGACCCCCGTGGGCGGCAACCTCCGTCTGAGCAGAGGTGCTATTGATCTATTGATTCATTCGGAAAACCTTGCGGTGTTCTCTAATTCGTGGAGCCGGCGTTGGCCAGGCGGGCCAGGCAGGCCAGGCCGGAGGCCGTCGACCCTGCCGAGCACGGCGGAGACAAGGAGCTTGGCGCTGCAGCATTGTTGGCGCTGTTTCCACTGAACAAGCGCAAGGTTCTGGCCGTCGCGGCCGCCACTGTCCGCACTGCTGCAGCAAGGACACCAGGACGGGGGCTTCGATCGCGACTCTCCGAAACGCAGTCGTTTTTGGAGGCTCGCCTGAAATCGATTGGCGATGGGGTTTAAGTGCAGAGCGGGTCAGATAAAGGGGACCGCTATTCCTTGGGTTTGACTGTCGAGGGCCTCGCGTACACCTCTGGGGGAGGGGGCGGGGGGTCAACGTGAGACGTGAGCGGTCGCACTGGCCGGCCGGGCGCGCTGCGTGGACTGGGACACGGGGACGCCATGATAAGACGGGGAGAGGCTACGCTGTACAGATATCAGCTGGAAACGCGGTCGAGCCGAACCGGGGGCCTGGCCGTCAGGGCCGGCACCGCTGCGTCAGCTGGTCGAGGGACACCCCGCGGGCCATACGTGGAGGAGACCGAGAACCCTCTTGCCCAGCCCGGCGTGGCCCGACCCGGCCCGGGGGCGGGACTGGCGGGACCGGCGGGACCACCGAGTGGGGAGGAGGGGAGGGCTGCGGCGGGGAGCGGAGGGTGGGGGTTGCAAGCAGCTGGGTGGACGACGAGCACGTCGCTGCTCGCATGCTCGGCTGGCTGCGGCTGCGGCTGCTGCATTTGGTGGAGCGCTCGCCCGGTCGCCGCCTCGCTGCGCGTATACGAGACGGCCGGCGGCTGCCGCATGGCCGCCGCCACCGCCCGGCCGACCAGACAAGCGCACAGGCTCCATGAGGGCCTTCCGGCTCGAAATAGCTCCTTCCTGACCCGGCGCTGACGCAGCTGACGCACTGCTTGTACTCACCCCGGTGCATCGCAGCACTCGGTGAAGGGCGGCCCCATGCGTGTCACTGACGCGCCGCGGGGCCTCGCGGTGGCGGGGCGTGGCGGGCCGCGGACCTCATCCAGGCCCTGCGCGTCGTCCTGTCCTCGGGAACCCTGCTGCCGGTGCTGGGGCGGCTGGGACACGGGGTCGGGGTCGGGCGAGCGGGCGCAGCGGGCGCAGCCGGGCCGGCGCACCTCTGGCGGCGAAGCGAAGGCGCAGACTGAGTTGTGGCGGTGGTGGCGGCGGCGGCGGCGGCGTGGCGCGGCGGTGTTCGGCTCCATTCGGCTTGCACGGCCTCGCTCGGGACGGCCTCGGCTCGGCTCGGCTCCGCGGCCTTCGCACCGGCTCGGCTTGGCTCGATCACTCCGCTCGCAGCTCCACGGAGTTGCGCGAGGACCACGGCTGCAGAGGGGCTGAGCCGCTGTGGCTGCAGATAAACACACCGCCATCAGCTGTTTTAGCGCTTATTTCAGGAAGGACTGGTCAGGGCTGCCAGTGTCTGGCAGGTGTGGACGTCCTGCGGCGGCGTGGGCCTGACATTGATAAACCAAGGTGTTCTACCGGCACCCAGCACCAGCTCCTTGAGTGTGCAACTGCAAGTGATCGGCACTACTGTTGCATACTTAAGTACTTATCGGTTGAACACTTTTATCAGTGTACGTTATTTGCGTATATTCGTTGACAAAAAACTTTTTAGACAGTCCCTTGTGGTCTGTCTCTACCCGAAGGTAAAAGTTTCCCGTTGCCGATTGACGTTCTAGTTCCAGTTTTTGCCGGCATATAAGACATGCATCCGAAACCGAGGGGGATATCAAACCCTGACAGAAGCGGCGATGCACCGTGGGTTGCCTACACACAGTGGCCTGGCCCGTACCTCGCCCGTGGCCAAAATTGCCTACCGTTCAAGCTGCTCACTATGTAGAGACGATAGAAGTGTTATCCCCCGCCCCCTTTCCCAATCGGCACCTGACACTCCATGGGAAGAAACTCGTCGAAGCGACGTGGATGCATGTGGCCTAAGTGACGTGAATGGGTAACTCGTAGTGAGCCAAAAGTGTCCCAGGTTTCAAGGAGGACGGTGGTATGTGCCTACGGTAAGGCGCCTTACCCACGCCACGTCGTTGTAATGAAATGTTGAAGCGGCGAGTAACAGGACCGACGGCGCACTATGGGCCGAAGCTCACCAAATCCTGGCCAAAAGTCCCTCATCTAAAATCGGTCCACCGCCTGAGCTATATGGCCAAACGGCCAAACCGACTCCTTAATGTCCAAAGGACACAGAAATAATAATATATTGATGCCAGCCAACGCGTAGCACACACTACAAGCACGAAGACGACCCTCTTCTTGGTCAAACCGAGGGGGTGCCAAACTCCGAAAAATCGTGTACACAGAAACACAAAAACAGCTTAACAAATACAAGAAAAGGAGCAGAAATACTTCCAAACACACGTCAAAAATACAAGAAAAATAGTAGAGAAGTACAAGAAATACACACAAAGCGTACTCAAAAATGAGTTGACTTACTGCGTGCAGCAGAAATGAGTGAAAACGCAACAACGGGGCGGTGTCTCTGATCTCTGATGTGTCTGGCCCGCCAGTCACCGCTACTGTTCGGTGCCTCGCCTCCTTCCCTCCTTCCTGTGTTCACTGTGGCCTGGTCGAGGGGTGGATAACTCCTGAATTGGATGTACACATTTCAAGAATTGAATTTGAATTAGCTTGAATTGGCTTCAATTGAATTTGAATTGGACCGAATTAATTGAATTGTTTTTGAATTTGTTTGAATTATTGCAATTTTATTTGACTGAATTAGCCTGAATTGACTTGAATAAGCTTGAATTGACTTGAATTGAATGTACATTGTCTTGAATTTGAACTGAATTAGGTGAATTATTTTTGAATTCGTTTGAATTAAATTGAATTGGTCTGAATTAGTTTGAATTGGGCAGAATTAGGGGTGTACAATTGGCAGGGGAGTTATACACCCCTCGGGCCTGGTGGAGAGACAGCACCCGTCTCTGATGCGAAAAGTTCTCGGTTTGAATCGAACTGGCGGCGCGCTCGTTGCGTTTTCACTAATTTCTGCGTCACGCTGTTTCTAGAATGTCTCCACGGCGCCTCCCACAATGTCTCGCACTCACTTCGGAATGTCTCCGGACATGACCCCAGAATGACTCCAGCGAGGGGGAAAACACTAGGGTTCGTAGCGTACGGACTATTTCATGCTATTTCTTCTGCCATTTCGGTTATTTCTCCTGCTATTTCGGCTATTTCTCGCCTATTTCGGATTATCTCAATCTAATTCGCGCTATTTCGGAGTATTTCAGGGGTATTTCGCGACCATTTCACCGACTATTTCGCGTCTATTTCGTCTTTATTTCGCCCTATTTCGCCTCCATTTTGCCTTTATTTCGGACTATTTCGTGGGAAGGTGTACGAACTATTTCGCAAGTGATTTCCCCCTCGGTCTCCAGTACGACGTCTCGAGAATGGCTGTACGGTGTCTCCAGAAAAATGTCTCAGCGTTGCCTCGAGACTAACTCCTTTTCGATACTGAATGTTGATACTCCTATACGAGACACCGTCGATGACTCGAGTATATCTATACGATATCTTCTACGCTGCTCTACAGTGACTCCAATTCCAATTTCGTCTCTAGAAAGTCTACGCAAAGCAGTCCACACCACGTCTGCAATCTGCCGATTCATATTCAAATCGACCGGTACCATAACTTAGTTAACGTTACCAAAATATCCGGAAGACTTTCGCAAATTTTGGTACCGATTGATTTGAACCCTATCACATGGTAGCTCGTTTGAAAGCTCTTTTCACGAGGAAACTGAAAATGTCATCATTTTTCCAAATTTATCCGTCTCAAAGGAAATAGTGGAAACGTGTGCATGCAATGCACACTGTATATAACGTGTGCATGCCCATGCACACTGTAAATAACGTGTGCATGCCATGCACACTGAATATACAGTGTGCAATGCACACTGTTGAGTTTTCAGAGAAGTCATCAGTTTGTCTCCAGGCGCGAATAAAATTGCTACCGGCTCGGTGTTTTCGATATTCTTTTCAAAAGGGAGAAAAATTGTTGCAAAAGCAAAGGAGCACATATTACAAAGCCATCAGCATTACAGCTATGTCAAAACATTATTGGAACGATATTTTGAACATTTAAATATGAAAACGACAACATAACGTCGTTGCCGGTTTAAATACACCAATATTGCGATGGTCGCCACACCTTATTGTCATACCACCAGGTGGCTGATTCGCGCCGCGCACTTTCGTAGTTATACTGTACCGCATGCACAGGTGTGGGCAGGTTTGCCTCTGCTCGCTGCCCACGGCTCCTTATGTCCCCGTGGGAGTAGGCAACCCACCCGCACGCGTGCATGCTGTACAGTAAAACTACGAAATTGCGCGGCGTCAATCAGCCACCTGGTAACTGAGGAATTACATTTTTAGCCCGCCCTTCTACTTTAAAAGCTATCTAGCGGGCTTATGCAAACGACCTCGTGTCTGTGTGTCTGTCTGTGTGTCTGTCTGTGTGTCTGTGTGAAACGCCTACGGCAAATCCTGGAAACCACGCCCAAGAGTGTGAATGGGGTTATCAGAGGTTCAAATATTTGCCCAAATATATCTGTTATGTTATTCTCAGGGGAACTAGTCCTAGTAGAATCCTGGGGCCGAAAATTTCGTCCGTTTGGCTCTATCTCCAACCGTTTAGGCGCTGGAGGGTCTTTTTTTTACGAAAATAAGCTAAAAATTGCTGTAGTCAACAATAAGTTGCAGAAAAACTTGTTCTAAGCAGAAGGGTGGGTTGTAGTCAGTGCTTTACCTTTACATCCCTTTCTCGTGTCTACGGGGCAAATTTAAAAGACGACGGGTTTTAGCGGGCCGGAGGCCCGTTACATCAATTGTCTGATTATGTTCTTCAGCAAATCGCGTGACGAAAATGGTCGGACCACGGGCCACACAGCTTCACATGGGTGTCCAGGGATTGCCTAGCTGTCCGCACCGCAGGCGCAAAAACCAGTTTTTAGCCCGCCCTTCTGCTTTGAAAAAGCTATCCAGCGGGCTTATGCATGCAAACGACCTCGTGTGTGTATGTGTGCCTGTCTGTCTGTGTGTCTGTCGGTCTGTCTGTGTGTCTGTCTGTTCCACTAGAAGGAGATGTGCTAGAGACTTGAAATTTTCAGGGTATCTTAACGTCCACTCGTAGAGGACGAAACGCCTACGGCAAATCCTGGCAACCACCCCTAAGGGTGTGAATGGGGGTATCCAAGGTTCAAAAATTCTGCCAAAAAGTTGTTATTTCATGTTCTCCTAAGGGGTAACTCGTCAATGTAGAGTCCTAGGGCCGAAAATTTCGTCCGTGTCGCTCTATCTCTAACCGTTTACGCGCTAGAGGGTCTCTTTAGACGAAAATAAGCTAAAAATTGCCATAGTGAACAATAAGATGAAGAAAAAGTCCTAAAAACCGCAAAATGAAAAGGAAACTCTCCCCCCACCCCACAAAAAACGTTTTCTAAGCAGAAGGGTGGGTTGTAGTCTCGGTGCTTCACCGTTACATCCCTTATTTCTCGAGTCTTCGGGGCAAACTCAAAGACGACGGGCTTAAGCGGGCCGAAGGCCTGCTACACCATTCGATCATATTCTTCAACAAATCGCGTGACAGAAATGGTCGGGCCGCAGGCCCGACCATCGCTGCCGGCAGGCCGCAAGCAGTCCCGACCCCTGCCGAACGGAGTTGCCGGCGGAGCGAAGCGGAGCTGGCAACTTCGTTTGGTGGAAGGGCGGGCCAGCTTGTTCAAACTTTTTACAGTAATCGCGCATTTGCTACCCGGCGTTCTTCACGGTTTTACTT